GCTTTTTCTCTGAGATCGGGAACAAGACAGGGTTGCCCACTCTCCCCACTGTTATTCAACATAGGACTTGAGGTCCTAGCCATGGCAATTAGACAAAACAAAGAAATGCAAGGAATCCAGATTGGTAAAGAGTAAGTTAAACTGTCAGTATTTGCAGAAGATGTGATATTGTACATAAAAAACCCTAAAGACTCCACTCCAAAACTACTAGGACTTCAACAAACTTTAACAAATATTTCAAAAATTCATATGTAACCACCAAATACCCCAAATAGCCAAAACAATCCTGAGAAGGAAGAATAAAGTGGGGAGGATCTCGCTCCCCAACTTCAAGCTCTACTACAAAGCCACAGTAATCAAGACAATTTGGTACTGGCACACGAACAGAGCCACAGACCAGTGGAACAGAATAGAGTCTCCAGACATTAACCCAAACATATATGGTCAATTCATATATGATAAAGGAGCCATGGACATACAATGGGGAAATGACAGTGTCTGCAACAGATGGTGCTGGCAAAACTGAACAGCTACATGTAAGAGAATGAAACTGGATCACTGTCTAACCCCATACACAAACGTAAACTCAAAATGGATCAAAGACCTGAATGTAGGTCATGAAACCATAAAACTCTTTGCAAAAAACATAGGCAAAAATCTCTTGGACATAAACATGAGCAACTTCTTCATGTTCCCGAGCAAGGGAAAGAAAAGCAGAAATGAACAAATGGGGCTATATCAAACTAAAAAGCTTCTGTACAGCAAAGAACACTGTCAATAGAACAAAAAGGCATCCTACAGTATGGGAGAATATATTCATAAATGACATATCTGATTAAGAGTTGACAAGCCAAATATATAAAGAGCTCCTGAACCTCAACAAAAAAAAGCAAATAATCCAATTAAAAAATGGGCAGAGGATCTGAACAGACACTTCTCAAAAGAAGAAATTCAGATGGCCAACAGGCACATGAAGAGATGCTCCACATTGCTAATCATCAGGAAATGCAAATTAAAACCACAGTGAGATATCACCTCACACCAGTTAGGATGGCCACCATCCAAAAGACAAACAACAAGAAATGTTGGTGAGGATGTGGAGAAAGGGGAACCCTCCTACACTGCTGGTGGGAATTAAATTAGTTAAACCATTGTGGAAAGCAGTATGGAGTTTCCTCAAAAAACTAAAAATAGAAATACCATTTGACCCCACTTCTAGGAATTTACCCTAAGATGGCAGGAGTCCAGTGTGAAAAAGACATATGCACCCCTATGTTTATCTCAGCACCATTTACAATAGCCAAGAAATGGAAGCAATCTAAGTATCAGTAGATGAATGGATAAAGAAGATGTGGTACATATACACAATGGAATATTATTCAGCCAGAAGAAGTAAACAAATCCTACCATTTGCAACAGCATGGATAGAGCTAGTGGGTATTATGCTCAGTGAAATAGGCCAGACGGAGAAAGACAAGTATCAAATGATTTCACTCATATGTGGAGTACAAGAAGAAAGAAAAACTGATGGAACAAAACAGCAGCAGACTCACAGAACCCAAGAAAGGACTAACAGTTACCAAAGGGAGAGGGACTGAGGAGGATGCGTGGAAAGGGTGGGATAGGGGTAAAAAAAGGGGCATTACGATGAGCACACATAATATAGTGGCGGGTACATGAGGAAGACCGTATAGCACAGAGAAGACAAGTAGTGACTCTATAGCATCTTACTATGCTGATGGACAGTGACTGTAATAGGATATGTGGTGGGGAGCTGATAATTGGGGGAGTCTAGTAACCATAATATTGCTCATGTAACTGTACATTAATGATACCAAAAAAAAAAAAAGGACACAGGGGAAAGACTAAAGGGAAATATCAACCAGCCAAATTAGATTAAGTGGAATTGAGAATTTGGGGACTGGACTGTTCTTTTTTATTTTCTTAGATTTCCAATTTTTTTTAATGATTTTGTTAGATTTACTGATCTTTTCTTTTGAAGCAATTAAATTGAAATCTTAATTTTCCTGATTTGTTGCATGTAGTATGGTTTGAATTTCTGTATTTTATAATTGAATTGTAGGTGTATTTAGTTATAAAGTGAAAGTTTTCTGTTTTCAAAATGAATAGCTTATTCCGTCTCATGTCAGCCCTGCCAGACTTGGAGAGAAAGTATCTGATTAGAATATAGTATGGCCATAATCTCTGTAGGGAAATGTGGAAAGGCATTTGGGAACCTACTGTGTGCCAGGACGTGTGGTAGGTAATTTAAATATATTGCCCTAATTTACCTTCAAAACAGCCCACAAAGATGGAAGGTATTATCAGCTCCGTTTTATAAAGAGCTCAGGAATCCACATATAGAGGTAGTTTATCTGCTAACTAAGGTCACATAAATAGAAAACAGTAGAACCAGAGTATCTGTGTATTATTTTATAAAGTTTCTTTTGTATTTCATTAAAATTAATAATAGTTTATTACTTTTTGTTTTGTTTTAAGAAAATTTTGACCATTTGAGGATGTTTACCAGAGAGACCATATTCCTCCTACTGGTCCCCAGGAGGGGACTGTTCTCAGAGGAGTAACTCTTGGAATGTAAAGCCAAATGCCAGTTAAGGACCCCAAAATAAAAGGTGGTCTTCTGGCAGTTACTGTACACTCTCCTATCCAACCTGTTGTGGATGGACCGAGTGACACAACCCTATCCTGGAAATCTATCTGGAGACAGCAGGACTGAAGACAACTGGAGTGACTTTTTATCAGAGCAGGTCAAATGAGGTATGTAATCTGTTTTATTGCTCCCTTTTATGTTGAAGTGTAAGGTATTGATATTTACCTCTTTGCTGATAAATTTGCAACAGTGAAAGAAATAATGTCATTACAGTCTTAAATTTTTTTAAGGTGACATTTTAGAACTGATAGAGTAATAAAGAACTTCCCTTGTAAGTTATTTTTTTAAATTCTATTTTCCTTTTCTATGTATTTCCTTCTAACTAGACTTGTGATACGAATGTGTTAAGGTGCAGACATTTTTTATGTTTTTGTTATATTCTGTCATTGAGCCAGTCAGTCATTAAGGGTGTCTGTTATGCCAAAATCTACGTGGGAGACAATCTCTTTAGAACCTAATCACTATTTGTGATTAGCTGTGGTATTGTTGTGATGAGGCATTTCTTTCTTTGTACTTCTATTGTGGTATTTGACTGACTTCCTTTAACTGAATTGTCAGGTTTGCCATCTAAACACAGGAATGGATAAATTGAGGGATTCATTGTTGATTGATTGTCACTCTGGTTTGATTGGTAAGTCAAAAATGCTGGGTAATTTCTGACAGGGTAATTGTTAATCAACTGGGTAGATCTATTCAGAAAGCTTGAAAACTTGTATAGACGACAAAGTTTGCTTAATGAGCAGAATAGGATACAATGTTTAAAGTCTGGGATATCTGGGAAGATTTGCATGGTTCCTTATGTTACTGCCTCTCTGTTGAACAGAACTTATAGGGTCTTTCTCTACTCTTTTCTCACAGTGGGGTGGTACTTTGACCTTGACTTTTTTCGAAGTTGTCTTTTCTGTTGGTACACCTCTGGAACACACAGATAGAGATGTTAATTATTTATAGCTGCAGAAGCAGCCAGAAACCTTTGCTGTTCAAGACAGTATGTCACCATAATGACAGAAGTCTCGGTAGATATTCGATGAATACTTGTGCAACTTAGCCTCATGTTTTTAAAGCTTCTGATTTTGAGGATTTGTATTATAGAATGTTTGATACTGCACAATAGTAATTTTCTCTGTTTTATGTATGAACAACATGTGGACCCAGACCCTAAGGGGGTGCTTTAACTCAGCTACTCCCCTGGGCTCAGTCAAGTTGCTTCCCTTCATCTAAGTGATGGTTCATGAAGTTTTCTTTGCCTGCCATATTTAACAGAGATATAAGAATTCTTGCTAAAAGGTTACTTAGGGAATTATTCCCTAGGATACATTGTGAAGGTTCACTTGGAAAGAAATTGGAGCAAGACAACTGGTAAGGCAGAAAAGAACAAGCAGGGGCAGGTATGGGGATCCACAGTCTTAAAGTCTCATAGTGTTAAGTTCCTGGGCAAGCAGGTCCTAAGGAGGACGTTGCCAGTAGAGGTTTTATTATATGAGCACTGATACCCTCAAGAAGCCTCCTTGACCCTGTTGCCCCACACTCTCTCCCCTTTCCATTTCGGTCATCAGCATGGCTTGTCTAACGCCAGTCTCCTGTTGCTCTCTCGTGTCTCACTTATTCTTCAGCACACTGAGTGCTGGGTTCTGCTCACACCCACTAATGAAAGTCCTCTGGCCAAAGGGACCAGCAATTCTTCCTTTTAAGGGTCTTCAGTGGTTTTTTAAGCCTTTAAAGTTTTTATTTTTATTAAAAATACACATATGAGTGCTTTAAAATTCAAATAGTTCTATGAAAAAGAAGAGTTCCCCCCCTCCACCCAACCACCAGTCACCACTCCACAAAGTCAGCCACTTTGTATTTTCCCATTAGCTTCTAGTATTCGCCTCCCTATTATACAGTATGCTTATCTTGTCACTTCTTGATTTTTCAGTTTGAGTTAGTATTCTGTTATGTGGGTATACTACAGTTTGCTTATCCATATCCCAGTTGAAAGGTATTTGGGTTGTTTCTAGTTTTTGACTTTTGAACAAAGATGCTGTAAATACTTGTGTACAGGTTTCTGTGTGAACATACTGGTGTTTGTTTCTTCTGGAGTGGAACTGCTGCTATGGGGTAAGTGTATTTTTCATTTTATAAGAAGCTGCCTAACTTTTCCAAAATGGCTCTGCTATTTTACATTTGCACCAACAAAATATGAGTTCCATTTGCTCACATCCTTACCAGCACTTAAAATTGTCAGTTTTTTCTTTTACTTTAGCTATTCTAATACAGATGCTGTGTTGTCTGATTGCAATTTTTCAAACAACTTCAGAGATATAATTGACATACAATACACTGTACATTCTTAAAGTGCACAATTTGATACATTTGAAATATATACATCCATGAAACCATCACCACCGTTGACAGAACATATTTATTACCCCATAGTTTCCTTCCACCCCTTTGTAGTTCCCCTTTCCCACCCAGGGCCCCACCCAAGGAAGCACTGATCTGTTTCTGTCATGATAGATCAGTTTTATATAAATTAATCATACAGTATGTATTTTTATATCTGGCTCTTTTCATTCAGCATAGTTACTTGGAGATTCATCCATGTTAATTGCATGTAGCAATAGTTGATTCCTTTCTGTTGCCAACTTGCAGTCCATTATGTGATAGCAATTTGTTCATCCATTCACTTGATGAACATTTGGGTTGTTTCCAACTTTTGGTGGTTACAAACAGCTATGAACTAAGTTTTTTAAATGCCTATTTTTTAATCAACCTTATTGAGGCAAAATTTATAGTCTATAAAATGTACTCCTTTAAAGTGTTTAATTTAATGAATTTTGGCTAATTCTCTTTTATAGCTCACATCACATCAAGATACAGAAATAGCATTGACTTCACCACAAAGGTTCTCTTGGGGTCCTTGCCAGTCAATCTCTGCCATTCCCACATACCTAGCAACCACTAATTTGCTTTCAGTCACTCTGGAATAAATTCATAATTCTGAGAGTTTTGTAGAAACAGCGTGTTCATACAGATAATATGATCTTTGTTTCTTGACTTTTTTTTGTTAAGCATGTTTTTGGATTCATCCATGTTGCAAGTTGCACGTATCAGTAGTTTATTCCTTTTTATTACCAAGTAGCATTTCACTTTATGAATTTACCACAGTTTGTTTATCCACTGAGGTGCTGATGGGCATTGGGTTGTTTCTGGGTTTTGGCTGTTATGAGTAAAGTTGCTATAAACATTCATATGCAAGCCTTTGTGTGGACACGTTTTTATTCCTCTTAATAAATACCAAGGAGTGAAATTGCAGGCTACAGTTAAGTACATCTTTGGTTTCTTAAAAAACTGCCAAACTCTTTTCTAAAGTGGTTATGCTATTTTATATTCAGACCAGCAATATAGGAATGTTCCAATTCTGCATGTTTGGCAACACTTGACATTATCAGTCTTTTAAATTATAGTCATTATATGGGTGTAGTAATATCTCATGTTTTTAATTTGCATTTCCTTAATGACATGATGTTGAGCATCTTTTCACGTGTTTATTGGTCTTTCATGTATCTTTTGTGACTAGTCTTTTCAAATATGTCACCCATTCTAATAAATTAGGTTGTTTCTCTTATTCTTGAGTTGTAGCCATTCTTTTGTCATTTGGATACCAGTCTTTTGTCAGAATAAATCATTTTTTTCCATGTGTAGCCCTACTGTCTTCAAGACCCACAGTTCTCTTCGCCATTCCTTAAATAGGCTAAAACCAAATGTGTCTTCCAAGACTTTGTCCTCTGCTGCCTGGGGTGCTGGCCAAACCTTCAGAGTGGTCTTTTTGGTAGCACCTTTCTTAACCTTCCTACTTAAAATAGTAATACCCCATGGCCTGGCACCTCCACCCCTTTTCTCTGTTTTATTTCTTCATAGCACATGTCCACCCAAAAGTTATATTTGTTATTTACCTGTCTTCTTGTGTAAAGAAAAATACTGACCCAACATAAGCTCCAACCATAAAGAACATTGAAAATGGTTGTATTCAATAGGCTGTTGAGGGGATTACCTCCTCCCTTGGAGGCCCGCGGGTTCAGGGATGACAACTTTATGAGCCTCCCAGATGAAGGAAGAGGTCGAGCTCCTTAAGGTGCTGTCACCGATTCTCAACTACCTGAGGCAAATGGCAAGCGCGGCCGCTCGAGGTGGTCCCTAAATGACCGCACCTAGAGCGAGAAGAAAACAGCCCCCACCCCGCCCCCAGCCTCGAAAAATAACTCGCGCGGCGGAGACCTATGCGGGGCTCCATCTTGGCCAAACTTACTTGCACAGGAAGAAACTGAGGACGCCTCGTGGAAGGCCCAACCCGGGCTGGGGACAAGGCCGAGGGAGACCCGCGCCCCGGCCTCAGCTTCCGGGCCCTGGATCCGCTCCGCCGTCCTCGCCCCGCTTGGGCAGAGGGAGCCCCGGCTCCTCGGCGTCCGCCGACGGGCTCCAGCTGAGAACGCAGGGTCTGCGCGAGGCGGGAGGGGCGCGGCCGAGCTCCCGGAGGCCGGGGGCTCCGTTCCGAGGGGAGGACCTCCGGGGCGGGACTGGGGCGCGGCGGGGAGGCCTGGCGGCTGGGGGTCGGAGCGCGGGGGCGCCCAGCCCCGGGCGCAGCACCGGAGAGCGTAGGACGAGCCCTGGGTTCCCTCCGCACCGCCTGTCAAGCGCCCCCGAGGCCAGGCGCTGGGAAGGCAGCGCGGCTGTGAGGGACTCTGGCCCCCGCCCCAGGGGTGCAGCTTTAGGGAGGATGCGCAAAACTGACAAGCCCCCGATCACTCAGGTTGTGACAGGGGCTAAAAAGCGCGTGTAACAGGGACCTAGGCCCGCGGCTCTGGGACGCTCTTAAATGGGCTCTTAACGGCGACTTGACGGGAGGGAGGAGTGAGGGGAACTAGGTGTCCGAGAGGCCGAATGTGGGGGAAAGCTTGGTGACGAGAAGCTGAGAAAGCCCTTGCGGTGTTCGCAGAAAGAGGCGGCCCGGGGAGACGTGCGCTTGAAAGCGGAGGAGGGAGGAAGGGCCCGGATGATGGGAGACCAGGGCTCCTTGACGAACTCGCGGCTTTATCATAAGGGCCACGGGAATACGAGATGTACAATTTGAAAGGATCCTTTTTACGACCGGGCGGGGGCCACAGCTGTAGATCAGAGACGGTGTTGGTGGCAATGGGTCTGGGAGAGAAGTGGACCGGCCAGAATGACACTTAAGAGGTTAAGTTGACAAGACTATAAATAGATAAGGAATTTGAATGAGATATGCATAGGTATCAGTTTCTGGCCTAAGTGAGTGATTCGCATAAAACAAAAGCTTGAGATTTGCTAGGGGTCCCACGTGCACTGAGTCTAAAGACAAAAAATACAAAAAGGATTTTTCCTCCCTGATTATGTGTACTCATATTTTGTGTGCTCAGAACATACAAAACATTTTTAAATGAGACAATAAAAATTACCTAATAGTCCTACTACCCAAGATGGCTGTATTTTGGTATGTTTCCTTAAAGTTTTTATTTTCTATGTGCATCTTTTTGTATAATTGGGAATGTAATCGTTGTCTTTCGGTATCTTCTTATTTCATTGGACATTGCTATGACAATAAAGATTGAACTAGGACATTGCTCACAAAAATTTTTTTCCTAGTTGTAACAAAAAGTCAAGTATAGTCAGAGGATACCTAGTCAGAGGATAGTTTTTTGGTGTATTTTTCTCTCAATGTTTTTCTTTTGGGGCACCTTTTTAAGAACCCCACAGTTTGTGCCACATTTTGTTTTGTTTTCCAATCAGATGTTTTTAGTGAAGTTACTCTGTTTTCACACATCCTGAACTGCTCTTCAAGGCTTTTAATGGTTTAGTCACAACCAGTCCTCCTGTTAGTAGCTAGGTAGGTTGTTTTCAACTCTTTACTATTAGAATGATGAGAGGGACATCTTTTTACTTAAGTCCTCAGATTTCTAATTTATTCCTTGGGAAAGAGTCCTAGAAATGGAATCTTACCAGTTAAAAGGATGAAATGAACCCATCAAATTGCTTCACCCAAATATTTTAAGACTTCGATTGAAATTGTTTTGAAGATCAAAGTTTTGCAGTAACATAATTTTTCCATTCAAGGTTATATCTTTCTAGTCACTCAAGTTGTCTTTGATGCTTTTGTTTTGGTATATACCCTGTCCTCGTTAAATATAAAAGGGCCAGGATTTTAATCATTGTACCTTCTCTGCTACAATTCCCTATGTGAAATGAATATGAGTTAAGTATACTTCTATAAACTTACTTTGTCCTTAATACTTGTGTCTAGGTTCTGTTAAAATATGAATAAAATGGTGAGATCAGAAAGCTGAAAGGGCTGAGTTGAAGTGAGGTTTTGTTAATACCATGAGCCATTAGTAACCCATGGTCTAAAAAATTCCTGGTACTCCACTTCTAGTTGTCTGCAGGAGAAGCTGTCCCTCAGCTATTCATCAGAGCCTGCATCAATTAGGGAACCAGACGAACCTTGATCCTTTCCCAGGAGTGGTAAAGGAAGCTAGAAACAGCAGGGTTAGGAAGACATCTCATGTGGTTTTGGGATGGAGTTTTCTAGTTAAACAGTTCTATCATTATTAAAGTTAATTGTTAGCAAGGATCTTTGGTAGTGAATTACAATGTTAATTTCTAAACAAAAGAATTTTTTGATCTTCTTGGTATTGTGCAGTAGAATCCTGCTAATCTAGGAAATGCAGTAAACACATCAGCTGGACCTATTTCCTGAATGCAGGGTTAACCCTTTTGTTAAAGGGGTAGAGATTTGAGAAAAAAGGCCATGGACTGTGGCATTGATGGTTCCTTAATAAACCCTACAAGTAAGAATGAGTAAACTGTACAGGGCATTTACCAGTAAATTAATTTTTCATGATGTTATAGTCTAGCCTAAAATTATCATCTTTAGATAAAAAGGCCTTGTTCAAGCTGTGCAGGGGGATCAGGTTTAGCCAACCTTGAATTTAACAGTGAATAGAAGCTGAAGTACCAGGCCTTGCCCTAGGGCATGTGAAAGGTTGTGGTCTGGCTCTGATGTCATGGCAGAAACCAGGATCTCCATCTCACGTGAACTCGGAAATCTCTGCAAAGGAGGTATTGCATAGTGGTTGAGAGCACACCCTGTGGAGTCACATTACCAGGACCTAATCCAAGCTCTGCCATTTATTGTGACTTTAAACAAGTGGTAGCCAAATACTTACCTAGTGCTCACTCTGTTCCTGGCGTTGTTCTAAGTGCTTTACATATACTGACTTGCTTACTTGTCACAACAGCCCTATGGAGTAAGCAGTATTACCTGCACCGCACCGGTAACATGCTTGAGGTGTCTGCCCAAGTCCCCAGTGATGAGTGGGAGCCGGGCTTTGAGCCCAGACATTACTTGCTTTGGTTTCCTCATCTGCTGCATGTGAATAAGATCAATTTCTTAGGATAGTTGTGAGAATTAAAGAACATTTAGGTTAAATGTTTAGAATATGGTATTTCCCAAATTAGCCCTCAGTAAATGTTTTTTTTAATTTCACAGTTGTAAGTTCCTTGCAGCTTTAAAATTCTGTGACTTTCTGACACCCGGGCCCTTGAGAGAGCTGTTTTGAGAACAGTCCGTAGGGACTGTGGTGAAGTAGAACTGCCTGACTTTGGAGTTGCTGTGAGACAGGGTATGCATCTTCGGAACGCTCAGGAGTCTGTGTGACATTCGTTTGTTTTCCTTGGTAGATGGTAGATTATCGATCCATTTCAGATACATGTGGCAGCCAACAAAGCAGTTCACTTCTACAAAGTGGGAAAAATGAAGACAAGAACTCTACTTAAGTTATTTTCAACCTTTTGCCAAATAACAATGTAATTAATATGGATTTTACTCACTTTATTTCTGTTGACCTTGTCATAACCTGTGCATTCCTCAATGTTGGATTGGAGGCTAAATTCTTTTAGCCCTGTTGTTAGTAACAAACCAAAATAATAGTGACAAGAGCTCTGGAATGGAGAGCTGAGGTTTGGCACTGCCTTAGTAGACACATTAAGTTTTGATGTTACTTCACATATATTACATAAGTTAAGCTAAACTGAAGTTTTATCTGTTCTTACTGGGTAAGATCCCTCTAAATGATTTCTAAATCTTAATGATGAAGCAGTAGGCATGGATCTTTGTGTTAGCACACACATCTTTCACTCTCCTTAACTGTAAACTCCTTAGACAGAATCCATGTCTTTTCCATGTACCAGAAGCCTACCCGGTACCCAGAACAGCCTTGTTCTTGAGGTACCCTGGGCCTCAGCAGAGCTTGACTGTCATAGAACGCCTTTCTATCAACTCCACAAAAGTGGGCAGAGAGATGGGCACTTTTGGAATTTAAAAAAATCCCACTTCAATAGGAAGACGAGGCGTGATGACAATTTCTGAGCATTATTTTAAGCAGACATTTGCACCTGTGCTGACACTTTCTATAGTTAAAGTGTTCCTCATTTTGAGCCTTCATGGGTGCAGTTTGCTTTCTCCTTATAGAAGCCAAAAATATAGATCCTGGCTTTCCCTGTCTTGAGGAAGGCCTGTGACCAAGCCAGAATATAATTCAGAAGTGGGTAACCCAGGAGAGGAGGGGGCAGAGGCAGCCCTGATCATTTCAGGATCGAGGGCAGCAGGGCCTTGTGACTAGACAGCCATTTCCTGTCCAGATTCTGTACCATGGTCTAGGGTGTAGGTCCTGGAACCTCAGCCTATACCAACAACTCTAAGATTCCTTTTCGGCTTAGTTGGCCAGAAATATTTAGGATCTTGAGCAGAAATATCTTGAATAGAAGGTAAAATGGTAGTTTGCTCACATATTCTTTTTTCACTATCTTTTAAAAGGAAAGAATTACCTGAGCATCTGGCCAGGAGAGGGTAGTCACTCTTGATTTGGGTCAGGATTCTCCCAAAACATACACTATGAATGTGATTTGCAAAACCATCTAGTGAACAGAAGTATGCAATTCCTCCAAAGCCACAGAGATGAGTGGAAGATGGAGGAATCCGATCCGGAGGCCAGGTGGCCCTCCTGACTCAGATTGTGCTCCATCTCCCACCCACTCTCCTCTTCAGGGAGTGGCCGCCATTGTTTGACCTCTCACTGCTTACAGTTAAGCCTTAATCAAGGAGCTCACTCCTGTTGAGTGCCCTAACTCCTGTCTGCAGCACCATCTCCAGAAACGAGAAAAGACTGAGCCTTTAACCTCCTTTGTGGCGTCTTTATTTTCTGCTGGTCCACGAATAATGTGAGCATGGGTCAGGGAACTCCGCTGCACAGAAGCACGTCACTGGGTGTGAGGAAGTGAAGGGGCAAGAGTGGCAATTCCAGACCAGCTTCCCCCAAGGGCTGTGGTCCAAGCTCACTACCAGAGGGTACCGTGCAGCGCAGACTCTGGGGAGCGCAGACAAGGACCAGTCACAATAGGGAACTACAGCCTGGTATGAGTTTATTTGCTTCTGTCCTCACGCTCCTGTTTGATGAAGTTGATCAACCCATTGGTGGAAGCATCGTGAGAGGTCACTGGGCTGCTGCCATCAAGCTCAGGCTCAATTTTCTTAGCCAGCTGCTTTCCCAGCTCCACTCTGCCAGAAGAGGAGAAAGAATGGTATGAGGAAGGTTCCAGCATTGCTAGTGAAATCCAGCAGCCAATCGAGAGGTGTTCCCCACCTTCCCTGCGAGACAGCAACTCACCCCCACTGGTCAAAGCTGTTGATGTCCCAGATGATGCCCTGGACGAAGATCTTGTGCTCATACATGGCTACAGAGGTGGCAGACAGTTCATGTTAAGGCTCTACCAGCCTAGTCCAACCTACCCCGGGCCGAGACCTTCCCCGCTCACTCACCAATCAAGGTTCCAAGAATGAATGGTGTGAGTTTGGTGAACACAATAGAGTTGGTTGGGCGATTTCCTTCAAAGACCTTCAGAAAACACCCAGCAATGTCCCCCCATTAGTTGTGATCTCCAAATCCTCAGAAGGGAGGTGCACCCTGCCCCATGGAGCCCCTGCCTGTTTATCCCTGTTTATTCCTACTCCAGGATGCCACCTGAAGCCCACTTTTGAGAAGTGCTGACCTTGTGTGGCAACAGCTTCTCAACGTCCTCTGGACTCTTTCCTCCGACCTGGAGCTCCTTTCGGGCCTCCTCTGTTGACTTCCCCCTCATCAGGGCCTCAGTCTGGGCCAAGAAGTTGGCCAGGAGGATCTGTCAAGAGACATCCAGTGCTGCTTGGAAGCACTGTCTGAGCTTCAGGCAGAGAGACAAGACAGCTCGGCACTTCCCAGTCCCAGTCGGGGTTATTCCCAGCCTGGGTTAGGCTGCTGGCCCCCACCTCTAGAGCTCGGTTGGAGCAAAGGGCTCAGCAGGACACATCCAGTGACACCAGAGAGTAGGTAACAAGGGCAACTACTCTTTAAGGAGTACACACGACATGCCAAGGTCCCTGCTAAGAACTTGAGTGGAATCTATCTTTTAAGGACCCTGAGGGGAGAGGCATCATCTCTTTTCAAGTTAAGGTCAGTTTCCCCAGAACAGTGCACAGTTGCAGAATAATGAACCGGAAGAATCAGAATGCAAAGCCAGGCGTCTGACTCCGAGGCTTTTGCCCACAGTAACCCATGCTCTGTATACTCAAGATACGGTGCCATCAATCCTCTTCAAGGACTCAGGTTAGAAATCAGATGGCTTTCCCATTTGCTGCTGTGGCAGGCAGGACCTTGCCCCATGATCTTTGCCCCTGCTGTACCTCCTGTGTATGCCATATTACATGGCAGAGGGATTTTACCAATGCAATTAAGGTTATGGACTTAAGATAGGGAGATTACCCAGGTGGGCCCAACATGATCAGTTAAAGGTAGAAGAGGAAGAACAGAAGGCCAGTGAGTCGAAGATGCAACAGAAGAAACAGGACAGGACTGAAGTTTGAGAGGGACTCAACCCACCGCTGCTGGTTCTGAGATGGAGGGGACCACAAGCCAAGGTGGCTTCCGGAGGTTGAGAATGACCCCAGCCATCATCAAGGCAACTGGACCCTGGTCCTAACGGGAACAGAGACCCAGCAGAGCCTGCTGGACTTCAGGCCCACAAAAATCGAGATAATAAATGGGAGTTGTTTTAAGCCACTAAGTTTGTGGTGACTTTTTATGGCAGGAGTAGAAAAGTAGTGTAACTGCCAACCAATCCACCAGGTCCGTGGAGGTCGGTGTGTGATGTGAGCCTGAGGAAGTCTAAGGAGGGGCAGGATGGGTGCTTACCTTGTGATGCAAACCATTCCTTATCGGGTGCTGGGTCTGGACCGGGATGAGGAAGTCACAGGGTATCATCTTGGTGCCTGTGAAGGGCACCACAGTCACCCGGGCACCTACCCCAGCCTATGAGAGCCACCCACAGGGCCTGCAGGAGAGCACAGACCTCACCTCCGTGACTTCTCCAGTCTCTGCTGGAGGGCCCTCCCCATCGCCAGCCACACCCTGCCCAGGCCACATGGGCCCTACCTTGGTGGATGAGCTGGTAGAAGGCATGCTGGCCATTGGTCCCTGGCTCCCCCCACACAATGGGGCCCGTCTGGTGGTCTACCCGAGTGCCGGACTTGGTGATGTACTTCCCATTGGACTCCATGTCACCCTGGAACAGGGGCAGAAACAGCCCTCTACCTACAAGTCTTGCTCCTTCACAGACTGTGCCAAAATCCTGCCTGGGATGCACCAGGCGTACCTGGCCTGGCCCTGTGAGGTGTCTACAGCCCTGATCCTTTTATCTTCCCTCCCTCAGCTGTGAGGACACAGGCTCACAAACTCTGGCTCAGACCGCTTGGCAAGAAGGACCATGACCAATAGCAGGAAGGTAAGGAGGCCCAGGGAAGACGTCCTAGGAGCAGAAATTGATCCCAAAATCTTCAACTGATGTCTTAAGTGAGAGGCTGGCTGGAGTCCAGAGTGTACATCCTTTCAAGGGTTGTCACCTCAACTAGATGCCAGGGCTTGGGAGCCTCGGCCCCTACTTTAGTCAAAGGTTCACCCCCAGGTGCTGGTCAAAGTCTGCTGTGCCTGCCCGGGGGTTGCAGGGCAGAGCCTGGGTTTGTGCTAAACAAACCAGGCACAGAGGTGGAAGGGCTACCTGCATCCAGGAAGAGGAGAGGGGCTACTAGGCCTCTGGAGATTGCAGGTGGGGCAGAGGGCTGTGAGTGGTCCTAAGAGACACCACAGATAGGGGGTGAACGTGCCTTTCGGAGGGACAAAGCAGCTCAAACTATGGGGATCCAGGCCTGGGGCCCCACCCTGCTGCAGACACACAGAATGATGCCCAAGGAAAAAATGACCCAGCTGAGACACGTGCCCTGAGCCAGCCCAGGGCCTGATGCCACCATGATAATCAGGCATGCCCCTCCCTTGGCAGTCAAATTCAGCTGATGCTCAGATCAAACAGAGCCTGATTACAAAGATTCACCATGAGATGGGTGCAGAGGTGGGCCCTGGCCATGCCCAAGGGTGATGAGGTTAAAGCCCCAGGAGTAGCAAGAACCTGGGCACCAGGGCTCATGAGCCTCCTACCCTCAACAGGCCCTGCTGGCCCCAGGGCCTGGCCTGGCAGCTATACCTGCTGGAAGTAGGCGGCAAAGCGGTGCAGGTACTGGTCATAGGGCAGCATGGCCTGCGTCTCACAGCCAAAGCAGTTGATGTACCAGATACCCAGCAGAGCCAGCAGGACAGGGGCATTCTTCTCTAGGGGTGTCGTGCGGAAGTGCTGGTCCTGAAATGAGAACAGGAGCTGAGCAACCACCCAGCAGAGCAGTGGGAGGGAGAGAGGCAGACAGCTAGACCAACCACGTGCCTCTGGCCAGCGCCTGGCAAAGAATGCAAGCCTCAGCACTTACCATCCAGTGAGCCCCTGAGAGCAGCTGTTCAAAGTTGTCAAATCCTGCAACACGAAAGCAGCGTCAACAGAAATGCTCATGCCCTGTGCCCTCCTGGCAGTGCATACAGCATCTTCTGGAACCAGAGAAGTGCTGGATGTTGCCAGAAGAAACAGGACCTGGAAATACTTGGGCCTGCAGAAAGCCTCTGGAACCAGAGTCAGCCCTGAGTGCAAAGGTGGCTCTAACTTCACCTTGCCTGGGAAATGAACAGGACAGCAGTGGTGAGGAGCTCAGGACCTTGCCCCATGATCTTTGCCCCTGCTGTACCTCCTGTGTATGCCATATTACATGGCAGAGGGATTTTACCAATGCAATTAAGGTTATGGACTTAAGATAGGGAGATTACCCAGGTGGGCCCAACATGATCAGTTAAAGGTAGAAGAGGAAGAACAGAAGGCCAGTGAGTCGAAGATGCAACAGAAGAAACAGGACAGGACTGAAGTTTGAGAGGGACTCAACCCACCGCTGCTGGTTCTGAGATGGAGGGGACCACAAGCCAAGGTGGCTTCCGGAGGTTGAGAATGACCCCAGCCATCATCAAGGCAACTGGACCCTGGTCCTAACGGGAACAGAGACCCAGCAGAGCCTGCTGGACTTCAGGCCCACAAAAATCGAGATAATAAATGGGAGTTGTTTTAAGCCACTAAGTTTGTGGTGACTTTTTATGGCAGGAGTAGAAAAGTAGTGTAACTGCCAACCAATCCACCAGGTCCGTGGAGGTCGGTGTGTGATGTGAGCCTGAGGAAGTCTAAGGAGGGGCAGGATGGGTGCTTACCTTGTGATGCAAACCATTCCTTATCGGGTGCTGGGTCTGGACCGGGATGAGGAAGTCACAGGGTATCATCTTGGTGCCTGTGAAGGGCACCACAGTCACCCGGGCACCTACCCCAGCCTATGAGAGCCACCCACAGGGCCTGCAGGAGAGCACAGACCTCACCTCCGTGACTTCTCCAGTCTCTGCTGGAGGGCCCTCCCCATCGCCAGCCACACCCTGCCCAGGCCACATGGGCCCTACCTTGGTGGATGAGCTGGTAGAAGGCATGCTGGCCATTGGTCCCTGGCTCCCCCCACACAATGGGGCCCGTCTGGTGGTCTACCCGAGTGCCGGACTTGGTGATGTACTTCCCATTGGACTCCATGTCACCCTGGAACAGGGGCAGAAACAGCCCTCTACCTACAAGTCTTGCTCCTTCACAGACTGTGCCAAAATCCTGCCTGGGATGCACCAGGCGTACCTGGCCTGGCCCTGTGAGGTGTCTACAGCCCTGATCCTTTTATCTTCCCTCCCTCAGCTGTGAGGACACAGGCTCACAAACTCTGGCTCAGACCGCTTGGCAAGAAGGACCATGACCAATAGCAGGAAGGTAAGGAGGCCCAGGGAAGACGTCCTAGGAGCAGAAATTGATCCCAAAATCTTCAACTGATGTCTTAAGTGAGAGGCTGGCTGGAGTCCAGAGTGTACATCCTTTCAAGGGTTGTCACCTCAACTAGATGCCAGGGCTTGGGAGCCTCGGCCCCTACTTTAGTCAAAGGTTCACCCCCAGGTGCTGGTCAAAGTCTGCTGTGCCTGCCCGGGGGTTGCAGGGCAGAGCCTGGGTTTGTGCTAAACAAACCAGGCACAGAGGTGGAAGGGCTACCTGCATCCAGGAAGAGGAGAGGGGCTACTAGGCCTCTGGAGATTGCAGGTGGGGCAGAGGGCTGTGAGTGGTCCTAAGAGACACCACAGATAGGGGGTGAACGTGCCTTTCGGAGGGACAAAGCAGCTCAAACTATGGGGATCCAGGCCTGGGGCCCCACCCTGCTGCAGACACACAGAATGATGCCCAAGGAAAAAATGACCCAGCTGAGACACGTGCCCTGAGCCAGCCCAGGGCCTGATGCCACCATGATAATCAGGCATGCCCCTCCCTTGGCAGTCAAATTCAGCTGATGCTCAGATCAAACAGAGCCTGATTACAAAGATTCACCATGAGATGGGTGCAGAGGTGGGCCCTGGCCATGCCCAAGGGTGATGAGGTTAAAGCCCCAGGAGTAGCAAGAACCTGGGCACCAGGGCTCATGAGCCTCCTACCCTCAACAGGCCCTGCTGGCCCCAGGGCCTGGCCTGGCAGCTATACCTGCTGGAAGTAGGCGGCAAAGCGGTGCAGGTACTGGTCATAGGGCAGCATGGCCTGCGTCTCACAGCCAAAGCAGTTGATGTACCAGATACCCAGCAGAGCCAGCAGGACAGGGGCATTCTTCTCTAGGGGTGTCGTGCGGAAGTGCTGGTCCTGAAATGAGAACAGGAGCTGAGCAACCACCCAGCAGAGCAGTGGGAGGGAGAGAGGCAGACAGCTAGACCAACCACGTGCCTCTGGCCAGCGCCTGGCAAAGAATGCAAGCCTCAGCACTTACCATCCAGTGAGCCCCTGAGAGCAGCTGTTCAAAGTTGTCAAATCCTGCAACACGAAAGCAGCGTCAACAGAAATGCTCATGCCCTGTGCCCTCCTGGCAGTGCATACAGCATCTTCTGGAACCAGAGAAGTGCTGGATGTTGCCAGAAGAAACAGGACCTGGAAATACTTGGGCCTGCAGAAAGCCTCTGGAACCAGAGTCAGCCCTGAGTGCAAAGGTGGCTCTAACTTCACCTTGCCTGGGAAATGAACAGGACAGCAGTGGTGAGGAGCAAGAGAGACCAATCTACAAACCCCCCACAACAACATGGGCCTCCCTTCCTGACCTCAAATAAATGTTCGAGCCAAGAGCAGAGGCCAGTGGCCAGTGAGGACAGGAAGGTGTTCAGAGGTACAAGATCCCCACCCAACCTTAGGCTGCAACACTGTCTTCCAAGACTGAAACACACACACTCACCCACATGCAGGGCAATGGAGAGTCCGATGGCTGACCAAAGCGAGTAGCGTCCTCCTACCCACTAGGAGAGACAGGAACCGGTGTTGAAGAAGGATTGGGATACCCCGCCCCCCTCCCTCCTGCCACAAAACTTGCCCCCTGAGAAAAATGTTCTTCCACAGGTGCAGCTCTAAGGGCCTGCCCCCAACACATCTCTGGAAGGCAAGACAGCAGGCCACGCTCTGGCAACTCTGGGTTGACCAACAGGGTAGATTACACATGGGACTAATCAGAGCCACAAGACAACTGAAAAACTTACCATGGCTGGCCCGGCCTCCTCAATGACAGGGCCAGTGCCTCATACCTGTGCCAGGCCTGGCCTCCTGGGACACCAACAGGCCCAGAACCTCACACCTGTGCCAGGCCCGGCCTCCTCAGACACCGACAGGCCCACCACCTCATACCTCTGGCAGGCCTGATCTCCTCTGACTCTGCCAGACCTAATGCCTCCTACCTGTGACTAGCCCACCTCCTTGGACAGATCCAGCACCTTGGAGCTGTACCCCAGCATACCCACCTCAGATACTAAATGACACAATGCCTCATACCTGGGTATGGCCCTGCCCCTTCTGACATGGGCAGACCCAGTGCCCCATATGCATGGTTAGCTCTGCCTCCTGGGACACTGACAGGCCCAGTGGCTTATATGTGGTCTTGACCTATCTTCTCAGCCTCAGGCCCAAGACACACCTAGGCTTACCACCCACACTGTGCCTTCTCATGTCACACTTGCAGACTCCACTTTGTATCATCAGAATCCTCAGAGCTCCATTTCTATCTTCCTAACAACTATTTACAGAGCACCTACCACATTCCTAGCACAGGCAACAGAAATAGTCCCTGGAGGAGAGAGACGTAGATGAAATCATCAGGCCAATAAATGTGAAAATGAGACAAAGTGCTTGGGAGAAAGGAAATACAGTACTGAAACTGATTATAAAAGGAATGTGAGGTGTGCTAGAGCCTGGATCTGAAGAATGAGCAGGCATTACCAGGGAAACACTGAGGGAGAGGCATTCCAGCAGCCAGAATAGCATATACAAAGGTCCTGTGGCAAGAGCAGCCTTTTTCAACTGTGAGAGAATTACACCCCACAAAGAATGACCCAATTCAGTGACCTCTCAGTTCTCCCAAGGGCAGAACCCTTCTGAGTATAGAGAGATGCTGATCCTTTACGTCTAATTGATGTCTTGGGGCATTAGGGCTTAATTCTCTACTGGAAGCAGGAGGAGGCACAACACTATGCAGAAGATGGAGGAAGGAGTGAGGACTGGAGGGCAGAAGCTGAGAGGTATGACTGGAGAACCAAGAAGGATGCAGGTGAGGTGAGAAGGGAAGCAGGAGACAACATCGGAGTCCTAGTGGTCACCCAGAAAATATTGCTACCCTGGGTGGGGGAGAACCAAGGACTGACTCGGGAGCTTCAATCAAACAGGATCAACTGGAAGAACGAGACTCAAGCTTAGCCTGGAGGTTTCTGGCTCAGTCTCTTCACCTGGAAAGGGCCCAGATTTGGGGGAACCTTGGGGGTATAGCTCAGGGGAACAGAATTTGACTACAGATTTTGGGGAAACTTACCTGACAGATACAGTCACACAGGGCCACACATGCCTGACCTAGGCTCTCAGGTATCACCTGACTCAATTCTAGAAACTGGACTAAACAGCCGGTCAGCCCTCAGACTGATGGATTCTAAGCTGCTGCCCTGGACTGAGGCCAGGTCGTCAGGTCTCACTTCCGGGAGAGTCCAGCAATGCCTGTGTCTGACTTGAGCCTCTGAGACCCTAACTTGCAGACAGGTCTCTAGGCCTCACCTGTACCCGCCATGGGCTTCTAAGATCACACCTTACAGATGCAGCTCCTCAGTCAGTTAGACATTCTATATCTCACCTGCCCAGGGCCTTGACTTCATTTTATCTAACCAGGTATAATCTTACCTTTTTCCTGACCTGGATAACTCAGATCCTGTGCCACCAACCCCAGTCCACCACCTTAGACTGGTTGCAGATCCTCAGACCTCTGTAATAGCCTGAGCTCCGCTCATCACACCTGACCAGGGTGCTGAGACCAGGTGGTTGCCTCAGGGCTTACTACCCATTCTACCTGATCCTAACGGTTCTTGAGCTCTCCCCAGGCAGACCCACATCCACATGCCTAGGCTGCCTCTGGCTTTCCCTTGATGACAGCCCGTTACCCACCTAACTGTGCCTGATCCTACTACCAAAGATCCCACCTGTGTCTGACTCACCTTCTCAGGCCTCTCCAGCCACACCAAATATATTTCTGGGCTAGATCTTGCCTACTAATTTCACCTAAGGCCAGGAATGCCAATTTATACCTGAAGCCAAGTGGCAAGAACATAAAGATTACATTTATGTACCACTGCCATGTGACCCTGGATCTAGACTCACCAATAATGCTTGCTCCAGGCACAGGTACAAGGGCCTCCCCTGGGAGGACAGCTCTGCTTGTATGTGTTCTACTGCAATACCTCAGACTGCAGGGTTACGTACACACCTGTCAGCGAGTCTCCAGACCATGCAGGGATAGACCAGGTCTACACACTGGTTTGTGCCTGACCTTGACTCCTCACGTCTCAAGTGACAGACCCAGGCTCACCTCTCCAAGCCCAACTCAGTCTCTGCACACCTTCCCAAGTGACCCAGCTTTATCTACATGGGCCTGACCTTGGCTCTCAGGCCCCACTTCCAGGTCTACACACTGGTTTGTGCCTGACCTTGACTCCTCACGTCTCAAGTGACAGACCCAGGCTCACCTCTCCAAGCCCAACTCAGTCTCTGCACACCTTCCCAAGTGACCCAGCTTTATCTACATGGGCCTGACCTTGGCTCTCAGGCCCCACTTGTATCTCGTGTCTGATGCAGCTTTTCATACTTTGCACACAACCCAACGCTAACAACCCCTGCTTAGCCTGGGACTGAGAAGCCTCACACTTCAGGCAGTGTGACCCTCCCTGCACATCTGTGCTCCAGACCCCACCTGAACATGTGGTTCTACCTACCTGTGACTGACCCATGTTCCCTAGGGATAAACTCTTAAGACCTGGGTCAACACACCTATGCCAGAACCATGCTCCGAGGACTTTACTTGCAAGACCCCGGTTTACAGAACTCTGGCTCCAAAGTCCTTGCTGAGAGAGCCACATCTACCTACTTGTGTCTAATTTAGGGTCCACGGACCTCCTATGAGCCCCACTGTGTTCTTCCTACCTAAGGAAAAACCCAGTGTTGTGAGCCTGACTTGGGAGGCTGCTCAATCCACTTCAGGCCTCTCCACGAAGACCCAGGGGTCCATACCTTTGCCTGAGTCCAACGTCTGAAAAAGCCAACATGATCTGCCTATACTCAACCCTAACTCCTTAGGCTTCCTCGAGATCAGTACACTTGGCAGACAGGCTTTGCCTACCTGCCTCTGACCTTGGCTCCTCAGACCACGCCAGGCAGGCCAGATCTGCCTACTTACCTGCCCCTGGCTCCTTACACCACAGCTGGTGGGCCAGCACTACCTGCCTGTGTCTCCCTAGGTCCTAAGGCTCCTGATGGGCCAGCTTGGCAGACTCGTACATGCTCTGGCTCCTTATACTGCAGCTGATGGGCCAGCTCTGCCTACCTGTGCTTGACCTTGACTCCTCAGACTACACCTACCTGTGGCCTGACATTGGGTCCTTAAACCATACCTGGTGGGGCAGCTTTGCCTACATGTGCTTGACCCTGGCTCCTGAAATCTCACCTGACAGCCCAGCTCTGCCTACCTGTCTCTGACCATGACTCTTCCAACTGCACCTGGTGAGCCAGCTCTACCTACCTGTACTTGACCCTGGCTCCTCAGACCTCACCTGGTGGGCATTCCACCTACCTGTGCTTGACCTTGGCGCCTCAGACCTCACCTGGTGGGCCAGCTCCACTCACCTTGTCCTCCCCTGGGAGGACAGCTCTGCTTGTATGTGTTCTACTGCAATACCTCAGACTACAGGGTTACATACACACCTGTCAGAGACAGGCTCCAGACCACGCAGGGATAAACCAGGTCTACATACCTGTCTGTACCTGACCTTGACTCGTCACGTCTCAGCTCTGCCTATGTGTTCTTGATCCTGATTATTAACCTCACCTGACAGGCCAGTTCCGCCTACCTGTGCTTGATCCTGGCTCCTCAGACCTTACCTGGTGGGCCAGCTCTGCCCACCTGTGCTTGAGTCTGGGTCCTCAGAGCATATCAGACAGGCCATCTCTGCCTGTCTCTGACCATAGCTCTTTCAACCTCACCTGGTAGGCCAGTTCTGCCTAACTGTGATCACACCTGGCAGGCCAACTCTGCCTACCTACGCTTGATGCCAGTTCCTCCAACCACTCTTGGCAGGCCAGCTCTGCCTACCTGAGGCTCTTCCCAACTCACCTATTCAGCCAGTTCTACCTACCTATGCTTGACCTTGGCTTCTTAAACTATACTTGGCAGGCCAGCTTTGCCTGTTTCCAATCCTGGCTCCTCCAACCATACTGGTAGACCAGCTGTGCCTACCTAGGTGTGACTTTGTTTCTCAGATCTCACATGGTGAGCTAGTATTACCCACCTGTGCTTGACCTTGGCTCCTCAGACCACACCTGCAGGCCAGTTCTACCTACCTGGATTTATTCCTAGCTCCTGAACTGTACCTGGGCTAGCTCTGCCTACCTGAACCTCATCTCAGATGCTCACATTTCATCTAAGACATTCAGTTCTCACCTGGGCTTGACTGTGACTTACATTTCACTGGGCCTGCTATTATGAACCTGCCCAGATCTGGCTCCATAGATCTTACCCAACAAACCCTGCTCTACCACCTGTCTGTAAGTCTGTACCTTTGCCTGAATCCAACATCTGAAAAAGCCAACGTGACCTGCCTACATTCAACCTGTGCTAGATTCCATAGACTTTACCTGAGAAACGAATTCCACATACCTGTGCCTGGCCACTCCTCAGTCCCACAGATCTCTCTAAAAGATAGGTGGAGATGCGGTTCTACCTTCCTATCTTGACCTTACCTGACAGATCTATATCTAGTCACTTGTACCCAACCCTGGCTCCTCAAATCTCACCTGAGAGAGCTAATTCTCTCCACCTGCCTTTACTTCGTATCTTCAGAGATCATGTAAGAGACCCAGTTCTTTCCAGATGAGCCTAATGCTGGCTCCTCAGGCTTTACTTGACAGATCTGCCCTACCCACCGGGGCCTGAGCTGAACCGCGACCAGAGCCGCATGACCTAACTGTGGCTTTCCAGGTCAGCCTACCTCTGCTTGCCCTGATTGCATAGATGTTACCTGAAAAACTGAGCTCTACCCACCTGTGCCTGACCCCAGCTCTTCAGATTCAGAATACAAACCAGGGCCTGACCTCAGCAGCTCAGACCTTACCTGTTTGAGACTCCAAAGTACAAAACTGTATCTTACCTCAACCCCTCCAGCCCCACCTGAGAGACCTGCCCTACATACCTGAGCTGGGGCCAGAATTCATAAACCTTCCAGGTGGATACAGATGTCCATCCCTTTGCCGAACTCCAGCTTTTCAATCTTTCCCCAGGGTACTTACGGTGTCTCTGTGACCATCACCCTCCGTGTCACCAGAACTGCTCAGACCCCAGCTGAGGACAGAGTTCTGACCTGGACCTGGTCAAGGGCTTCCAGCCCTCACCTGTTAGATCCGACTCTGCCTCTGCCGATCTTCGGCTCCAGTGTTCCTACCTGACCAATCTAACTCAACCTACATGTGCCTGATCTTGGCTGCTCAGGCCTCCCTAAGAAACTTACTACACCCACCTTGTCTCATTCCAGCTCCTGAGACTTCAGACAGACGTGGCTCCACAGAGCACCCTCGGCAGACGCCACTACAGACACTCCCCTCGGACCTGACACACTCCTGGCTGCTTACCTCAGCCCGCGGGAAGCCTGGCGAGAGCCCACTGGAGCAAGTGTCTGAGCGGCCTGGGCCTTGGCCATCTCGTCTACCAGGAGCCCCGGACCACACCTTACCCATGGAGCTCCTTAGCCCACCTGTCTGTTCTTCACCTGCCCAGACCTCACTACCCAGTCTTCAGCTTTTATAACCTGCCTGACCCCTGGGCTCCTCAAACCCCACCTCAGCCACTGCACAATGTCACAGACCACGCCTTGGGCTGGTTATGGATCCTGGGAGACCTCGGCAACACCCTGAGCTCCGACCATCACACCTGGTCGGGATGGCTCAGGGGAAGTACCCGGGCCTGCCTAACCCTGAGTCTAATGCCTCGTCAATGCTCAGCCACCCACTTCCTGAGGCTCACTCTCCAGTGCCTACAGCTGCTCCATGCTCCAGATCTAAACCTCAACTCCCAGACCCAGGTTAAGTACCTGTACGTGACTGGATCCTCAGACCTCAGGTAACAGAATCATATTTAAATACTGTGCCCCTTCGAGAATTCAGAGACCTCATCTGCACCTCTACTTGTCTTGGCTCCCCAGAACTCTCCTGTACCTGTCCTGGTCCCTCTTCAGACCTCACCAGCCCAATTACTCTCAACTGTGTGCCGACTCCGGCTGAGCCTGACTCTGAAACACCTCAGTTCCCACCATACCTCTGCCAATCCCAGCGCGGGAGGCTGCCCCAAGACTGACCCCAGCTGACCAGGCCTCACCGCATGTACCTACCTCTGTCAGACTGGACTCTTCTGATCTTACCTCGGAGCCAGCGCAGTATCCCTACATCTGTTCTGACCCCTGTATCTCACCTGACACCCTAGCTCCAGAAATCTCATCTGCCCCTGTCCCTGGCTCCTCAGATGTCACTTCTCGATTCAGCAATATATACTTTTAGTGACCAGGCAGGTCTCTCCTCAAGCCACTGTGGTACACAGTATGTTGGGCCTGGCCCAGGAGGCCTCAACTGTGCCCACCACCAGTCGTACCCCCATGTTCAGGTGCACAACTATCATTCCAGGCCTTACCCAGGAGACCCAAGCCTCTCCCTAAACCACAGTCCAACTCATCTCTGCACGCTTGGCTGTTGCAGGCAATGAGAGCCCACACTGGGGCCCAGCTCTGCTCTGTGGGGCTCCCTGGCAAGCAGGAGCAGCCACATGTCCCTGACGGCCACCTGCTCAGGCTCCAGGTCCCAGGGAGGAGGTGGGAGGTACCTGCCTCCTTTATCAGGCATGCAACATTTGTTAGAAGCTCTCTCAACCGGGGTTCCTCATCTGAGCCACAGGACGCAAAAAATGATTTGAGTGACTTCTCAATTCTTCCAAGGATGGTACATAACTAGTCCCATTCTAGAAAGAAGTTACCTCATTACACACAAGAGATCCCTTAGGCATTAGGGCTTAATTCTGTCCCAGACTCCAAGACTTCTGGAGGTTACATCTGTGGGTATCTTCCACCAAGGAAGAGCTTCCAGTCTAAGGGCCTGGAAGCAGCCCCCATGGGAACGCCAAGACAGTGCCCTCTTTGGTGCCCCTGCCACAGTCATGTGTTAGAGCTATGCCCTGTATATTCACAACACCCAAAACTGTACCCTGCACCCTAAGCCTTCCCTGCATTCCAAAGCCAGAGCCCTTCGCACACTATGCTGCACTCAGAGGCCAGCGGCAAGGAAAGCTCCTACTCAGTGCTGGGCACCAGCTGTGGCTCTAGCAGAGATGAGTCCATGTGACATCTGTTGCCAGAGTGGCTTGCAGCTCTGCCATGCCAGCAAGGTTTGCTTTACAAGCTGCCTGGCAAGGCCCCACCCAGGCCTGGCGCCTCTTCTCTGCTGCCCTCCAGCTCTCCTTTTCAGGCCTGCAGTCACACCTCCTGCCTCACCCCGCCCCTTGGCCTTTACAGACAGCGGCCGCAGTTCAGAGGAAGGTCAGCTCTGAGAATAACTCAAAACCCCAGCTTAGTGACTGGGGCAGGGGGGCTCTGGTTATCCCCCAGTGGGAGCTGCTGTGAACTCTGGGGGTGTCACCCTGGCATTGCAGTTCAGCCCGCCCTCAGCAAAGTGGAGCCCTCGTCCTGACTGACTGCTAATGCCCACAAACCTCTCTGAGGGCCGCTCAGCCTTTCCCAAAGCCAGGCATGCAGCAGGTGCTCAATGAACGCTGACCTGACCACCCAGATCTCTCATCTGTGGTGCAACGGTCATGAGTTGGCAAAGGACACAAAATTCACCCAGCGGAAGGAAGTGCCTTTACTTACATCCCAGAACTCAAACATGTTTTGTGGGTCAATGCCAAACTCCTTCACTTTGGCCTAAAAAGGACAAAGGGAGAAAGAAGAAAGGAAGCCCATGTTAGCTGGAAAAGAACAGAAGCTCCAGGGTGCGAGGAGTCATTACCATCAGAGCTGCAGGAACACCTGCCAGCTTCTGCAGAGCCCCAGATGGGGAAGACCAGAGCTGTCCACCCCAACCAGACACCAGGCCAGTTCACATTCAGCACACCAGTGGGCTGGCACTTGCGAAGCCCTCCTGTTGAGGGGTCTGCACACCCAGCACGAGGGCCTGGCCCACAGGCTGCTCTGCATGAACTACCTGCTGGGCCTGTTTGGGGTATCAGAGACTGACCCCCCAGGACCTCTGGGAAACTGAGCCCAGGGCTGGAATGTGAGGATGGGCGGGAGTGACTTCCCAGGCCAGGAGCCAAACAAGCCAGACACCTTCCCAGTTCTAATCCCAGCATCACTGACTCATGGAATCACTGAGCAAAATGTCACGTCCTTCACTGGGGCTTAACATCCTTGCGTGAGACTGGACTGCGTCCCCATCCCTCAGAAGCAGTCCCATTCAGGGAGAGGCCAAGGGAGGTCATGGGTGTGCAGCGCTCTGGGTTTCAGTCAGGACTGGGTGATGGACGGGGTAATATGATCCCCACTGACTGCGTGCCCCTCTTCAGGCTGCAGAGATTCGAGGGAGAGTGTAGTGAAGGCCAGGATAGGTTGCAGCTCACACCTCTCATAGGCAACCCTTCCACCCGTCAGCCAAGCCAAGAGCCCTGAGCCCCATAACTGGGCTCGAGTGTTCTGATAGGCCATGACCTTGACCCTCCCAGGGAGGTAGTCTGGGACCCACACGGGTACTCACTGTGTTTGTAGACAAGGCAACAAAGTGCTTCGCAACTGCAGAAGACTAGAAGAGAGAGAGCCAAGTTACACCAAAACCATCCCAGGGGCAGGGGCCACCCAAGGCTAGCGCCCCTCATCTCTGGCGAAACCAAGGCCCTGGGTGGGACTGACTGCTCCCAGTCCTTAGTTCTGGGGCCGCTGGAGAGGTTGGGAGGACAGAGAGGTCAGAGGCTGGTCAGCCCATTCTTCAGGCACATAGGCCTGGGGTCCCTCCCCTGTAAAGTGGTGTGGCCAGCAGGCAGAGAGGATCCTGCAGGGCCCTACAGCAAGGGCCCTCAGCCAGTTAGAGCAGCTTCTGCCATCCTTGGTGTGTCTGGAGCTGGCAAAGCCAAGTATTTTCAGCTCATATTTCAGGCTGCCTCCTGTTTCAGGAGAAACAGGGCTAGCGGGCTAAGCTGGGCCTCTCAGGCTGATGGGCCCACCATGGTCTTCCCAGCCCTTGCCCTGCCCACCACCCACCCCAGCACTTACATCCTTGGCCGACAGGAGAAACCACTCCTTTGCTGTCTCTGCATTTGTGATGGTCTCCTGGGTGGTAAAGGTCTACAGGCAGAGAGTGCAGCAGTTAGTCCCTAGCTCAGTCATCATGGCCTCGAGCCAGGGCTCAGCAGCAGAGGCCACCTGGGTAGTCAGTTGTCCCAAGGAGCAGCGCACGCAGATCAGTGACAGTTACTCCACACAAGCTCCACCCACATGCCCACAGTGCCACCATGAGTGGCTGTGTTTGGGGCAGGGGCCTGGAAGGAGCAAGCAGTCATCCTGATTCTAGAACCTCCCAGCCAGAGGAAGGGGAACCTTAGTAAGGGTCCCAACCCCCACCTGGGTGCCCCACTCCAGTCACAGGTCATAGGCCAGAGCATCTTCCAGAAGAGGGGCTGCAGCCACACCTGGGGCTCCCTACAGCCCAGAGTAGGATATTATTCAGAATTGAGATGGAATTCTTAGTATGTGCATTGATGTGAGTAAGTAAGGCATAAATGACAACAAACAAAATCCTTGTATTACATGGGCATGGCTCTGGGGTCAGAAAGGAGCAGACATTAGGAACGGGGTTCTAAGACGAGAAGAGTCCCAGGCCGGGTACAGATCCAGCAAAGTGAGTGGGTGTGGCCTTAAGACAGAGGTTCGAGCTGCACAGCTCAGGCGTTCATCAGGTAAACTGTGTTTGTACCAGACAAGAACAGTCTGGGGGCAGTGCTGCTGCCCAACCCGCAAAGCACAGTGCAGTAAGGAGGGTCCAATGGCCAGGGTACTGGCGAAGCCCCACCCACCTCACCCCCAGTCCCACCCCAACACCCACAGGGCTGGGGACCCATACCTTAGAGGCAATGATGAATAAGGACGATTCGGGGTTCAGGGCAGCCAGAGTTTTGGCAATGTGGGTCCCATCAATGTTGGAGACAAACCACACTCGGGGACCTCCTGTTGAGTATGGCTTAAGGGCTTCGGTCACCATGAGGGGTCCCTGTGGGGATACACGGCATCAGAAAACATGATTCCAGGGCCCAGGGAGGTGAGGGTGAGGACAGCCAGTTTCCACCACTGGGGACACTGAGGCTTGGGTGGAACTCCTCCCCACTCCCCAAGGCAGTGCTCTCCTCACCAAGTCAGAGCCGCCGATGCCAATGTTGATGACGTCTGTGATGGTCTTGCCTGAGTACCCCTTCCAGTCACCGCTTCGGACACGCTGGCTCAGAGCAGAGACATGTGCATGTGATCAGCCCAAACACCCATGTATAAACTGCTGCTCAAAAGCATCGTTACCTCTACATCCCTATGCCTCAGTCACAACATCCAGGCCCTCACAGAGGCCTACTGAGACCATAGTGATCTGCCACATTTAGCCCCACTCGACCCTATTTTATCATTAGCAAAGTGGGTGACATGCCCACCTCTCAGTAACATTGTCAGAATTTGCAAAACAAGGGTGAGCTCTCAGCAAAACCTAATACATCAGAGACCAAGAGATGTGAAAGGCCAAGGACTGTGACTGGCATGTGCCAGGGACAGGATATCAGACATGCAGCCAACCTCCACATGGACCGGAATCTGGCCTCCTGGTGCTGTACAGTCCACCCGTGCTGAACAGGGCTGACCCGTGCACCCACCAGGATACTGCAAACAGGAGGAGGCATGACTTCAGATAAAGTCTGAGTCATGAAAAAAACCTTGCAGCATCTTGTTCTTTTACATCACTCACTTTGCAGGAATCCATCTATCCAGACATGGGGACACTGAAACAGTGGCCCGAAGAAGCCAATGTGGCAAGGCACTGAGGTTTTCCTCCAACACCCAGTGCCAGTTAACCACCCACGAGGAGGAGCCACCTTGGCAGAGGGTCCTCCAGCACCCGCCAAACCTTCAGACCTGACCAGCACGTTGTCCACAACCTCAAAAGATCCCCAAACTAAGACCAACTCCTGCATGCCTGATCCACAGAAACTGTGCGAGACAATACATGCTTACTGTTGTTCTAAGTGAAGTTTTGATGTAATTTGGCATATAAAACAAATAACTACTGCAAATTTTGGTACTGGAAGTAGGATATTGCCATAATAAACACCTAAAAACATGGGCAAAAGCTAAAAAGACCTTGAGAAGTTAGTGAAATCCTAGAACACGTTGGAAAAGACTGTTAGTAGATGTTTGATAGTCCTTGAGGGGGCTGCTGAAGTGGATTTAAAGGGAGGAAAAACATTATTGGAAACTGGAGGAAAGAGAATCTTTGTTATATAGCAACAGAAAGTTGACTGCCACCATTGCCTCATTAATGGGGAAAGTGGAAGATGGCCCTACTATCCGCACGATCTAGGTACAGAGATTTCCAGGATGTGTTAAAGGAACTGTGTTGCTTCTTGGTGCTTACAATGAAATGTAAGAAGGGAGAAATAAGCTAACGGAGGAATTTTTAAGCAAAAAGAAGCCAGGAATTGTTGGGTTTGAAAATCCTCGGCCTCTCCAGGCAACAACTGATGCTAAAATTAAAAGATGGCTCCTTGGCAGAGGTTAAACCCAGGGCATTATAGTAAGAGCAAAGTGTAAAGATGAAGCAGTAGGTATAGTTGCAAAACCTGTTAAGACCTCAGAAAGAGCAAAGGTGTTAACTTTTGGTCAAAGATAAGGCTTCTAAGAAGCTTAATGGTATTGTCTCTATGGTCTCAGAAGCAATGGTAGAAAAAGGCTCATCTTGAAGAAATTTGTGGGTATGATTTTTTTCTAAGGAGTGAACCTTTCCTCCAGTAAGCTTCACAGGAGACCCATAAAGTTCTTAAGATAACTAATTATCAGAAACTTTACAAGCTTTAACCAAGAGAAATAGTACAAAAAAGAAGAGGCCTTTAGAGGAAAGGCCACATTTCTGCAGGCTTTAAGTAGGCTGATAAAACTATGCAGTTGCAAACACAGACTACCTTTCATGTAAAAATCATGACAAAGGGCAAAGCCACATTTTGAGGAATGACTCCTAAGTCGTGAATCCTAACCAAGCAACTGCCAACATGTGTCCTGCTGGATTTCAAAACTGCTTTGGACCAATGACTCTTGTGTGTCTCCCATTTCCCCCACCATTTGAAAAGGAATTGTCCTTTATCAGTTACCCTATGCTGTCTAACCACTGTGTTGGGTGTGTGAGGGGTGAATAACTCGTCTCTTTTACATCACATGTCTTCAGGTCAAAAAGAACTGTAATTAAGTTGCATTAAAGCAAATGCAGGTAATACTATACCTGCACCTAATTCAAATGAGGTTCTTGGCTTCCAGCTGATACTGTAATGGGATATAAACTTAGGAGAATGTAAGTGCGGTGTTTTGCCTATGGACGGAACATGATGAATCCCTGGGATCGAGAAGGCAGACTACAGTAGCCACCTTCCAAGATGGTTTCCCAGTAACCCTTGCCTCCTGACCTCCATGTGCTTGTGCAGACCCCTCCCCCATTGATCAGAGCTGACCTGTACAACCGAGAGGGCATTACAGAAATCAAAGTGTGTCTTCTGAGCTGGCTCAAGGTGGGAAGACTGTGAGGCACTCTGCTCTGCTCACTCTTGCATCACTCACTCGGGGGAAATCAG